AACACAAAAAACCTTTAATATTAATTTATAAAATTTGTTAACTTCAATGGATTAAGTATTGCTTCTTTTATTATAATTTATTACTCTCAAACTCTTGTTATGATTATACTTTATTACATATGATAAATACTGCTGCAGTTAGAAAAACTCTTATCAGGTAAACATATCATTTTGGATTATTTCGGTAAATACTGGCATGGGTGCAGTTACCAGGTCAATGGCTGTAACTGTTTTGGTGATTGATGTCTGAAATGATCCTTAAAAATGGCAGAAACCAGTCTCAATGCCACCAAAGGTACAAGATGCTACAAAGCATAACTTCGCCAACCTCATTTCATAATTAGTTTTTCCTGTTGTCTTTTTTTCTTCTTTCTGGTGCTAACATCAAAATCAGGATGACATGTGTATATTGTGTAAGCACTCTACCACTGGCTATTTACCTGGTCTAGTTTAATTATTGCAATTACTGTTAATTACATGAACTACTGTTAGTTGGATATTTTTCCATGCTTATTTCTCCTGACTTTTCTGTAAATCATATGCTTGAATTTTCTGTATTTTATGCATTTCAGACAGGAGACTTTAAGAAGCTATTGACCTTTCCTTACTTTTTGTTTTTCCACTTTGAATTTTCCTATAGTATCTTTTATTACTAGTGTTTTGGATTTAGTCCATGGAAGTTTGAAATTGCATTCATGTATTTTGCCCACGCTAAATTCTTCTGTTTCAGTTGTTTTGAGAAACACATTTTGTGTTAAGTGGTGATTTGGAGGAATGCTGATCCCTTCAGTCCATCTTGAGTTTTTATACTAGGGAATGGAGGAGCTGTGTTCAGATTTCAAGACTTTCAACTTTGTCCGAGTACTTCAGAGGCTTATACCCTAAAAGGTCACTTCCATCATAGGATGACCTACATTCCTTTAAGCTAAACTTTCAATTTTATTTAAAATCCTTGGATTGTGTGTGTTCAAAGGCATGCACCACCATGCCAGGCAATTGTTGGGTTTTAAAAAACAATGACAAAGCCATGTTTTAAAACTGCCATATCAACAAAAATGCATATTTGTGGATTAGATTTAGCCTGTGAATTGTCAGAGAATATCCTCCCATCTACAGAGTTTTACTGCTGTGTCTGTGCACTGTTATTTTTTCATTATAAATCGTTTAAAGGTGTTATGACATAGTTTACAAGTCATAGTCACTGGCTACTAGCATAGGTAATTCTGAAAAGGATTCCAGGCCCTGGGGATACAGCCTAGTGGTAGATTGCTTGCCTAGCATGCACAAGAGCCCAGGTCCTCTGTTTACTATTCTACTCCCTCAGCCCACTCCCAAATATGCAGTCTAATTCTTAGACTATCAGCTATACACCTACACCTTTATATTTCTAAAGCATGATTGACTTGGAATACAAACCATTTATGCTGAGGCCACTATTTTCCCTTTGTTTCAAAAAGAGCGTCTGTCTAGAGGCTTGGAAATTATAACATATGGTGGAGAGCAGACACACCTCATTAATATAGAATCATAACAATGTGTTGCTACCAATATGTGTAACCTTGAAGCATACTGCTGTTATCAGTTTAACTTAAATATAGTCACTTGTTTCTCAAGCTAAGGTGAAAGTGGAAGTTTAAAACTGTCTCCAGGGGCTCCTCTTAAAAAGCCAGGCATGGAGCCGGGCGTTGGTGGCACACGCCTTTAATCCCAGCTCTCGGGAGGCAGAGGCAGGTGGATCTCTGTGAGTTTGAGACCGGCCTGGTCTACAAGAGCTAGTTCCAGGACAGCCTCCATAGCCACAGAGAAACCCTGTCTCGAAAAAACCAAAAAAAAAAAAAAAAAAAAAAAAAAAAAAAAAAAAAAAAGCCAGGCGTGGTAGTGCATGCTTGTAATCACAGAAGGAGACAGGAGGGTCTCTGGAGCTCATCTACCAGCCATTGTAATCACAACAGTGACCCAAGATCCCAGTGAGATACTCTTAAAATGAAAGGTAGATGGTTCCTGAGTAACAACACTTACGGTGGACCTCTTGTCCTCACATAAATGTACACACCTATGCTTTGTACACTTGCACATGCATGCACATGGGCATGCAAGCTCTCTCTCTCTCTCACACAGACATATACACATATGCACTTTTAAAAATAAGTGTTTCTTTACAATCATAAGAGGTCTGGGTCTCTTGCTCCTTGACAGGTAGTTCATTAGTTCTTGGTTTCTCCTCTTGCAGAAGTTGGAGTGACCAGATTATGCTGTATAATAATATCATTAAGAATAGTTTGAGACAAGTGAACATCGTAACCATAGGAACAAGAGGGATTTAATATGGGAGAAAGAAACCTTGGTCTTTGTGATCTTGAGTCTTTCCTTTCTTCTTTCCAGCTTCATGCCTTTGGAGAAGATTTCCTGTGTCATTTCTAAGGCTACAATGATGGCACCACCTCAGTGCTGATCCGATGATATGATGAAAGTTAGAAGCTGATTACCCCATCCACATCAATTGTTATTGTTACTTCAAGGAGTTACACGGAACTATTGGTTTTTGTTTGTTTGTTTGAGAAACTGGCAGTTAACTGAGAGAAGAAAAAGCATTCTAGCTTGGAAGTAAATAGGATCCCTCTCCCCAGATATCTATCTAGGTCTTTTCTGTTCCCAAATCAGAAAAAAGTAGGTCAAGGTTATTACCACAAAGCTTTGGGCAACTATGATGTGTAGATTGGTTGAACAACTAACTTAATCCAGCTACTCCAAAAGAGTTTCCTTGTTAAATATAAACAGTTAACTGAATAAAATCCTTGATCATAACTTCAAAGTTTTCCTATTTGAAAGTGTGCATTTCCAGAGTGATAACGTCTGTCGTCAGGAGATGTTGGGTTATGCTCACAGTTCTTACTAAAATTTCCTCTCAGATATGTCAGGCTATTTCAAGTGTTTTCTAGGTCTCAAGTTGAGAAATCTGTGGGGTGATTTGCACAAGTGCTGAGGAGGGCCTTAACATCTGTTCCTATCATTTCCTTTCTGGGACAAAATTACATAGATGCCCAACTAATTTTAGAGTGGTTGTGGCCGAGTGTTAAGATGTGAGACTGCAAAGGATTCCAGGATCCTTTCCACACCGATCTTACAGCCATGGAGGGAGAGGGAGTGAGGGAAGTTACTAGAGTGAACATTTTACATAGAGTGAATGCTTTTCATCTCTTTGAATCTTCAAAGTAAACGTGGATGGAAAGACACAGAAGTTAAGTTGCTCATATTCACCCAGCTAATATGTGGCTGTGACGACACTGTTCTAACTGAATCCATACCCTGGGGTGTTTGGGTCTCAACTGTCTTAAACTATTGTGAAATGGGTTTGACTCTGATGCTACAGGGATGGCATTATTTGTACAATCCAAACATATATTATATGATGGAAAAGGAGTTATAGAGTTGGGGATTCCTATTCCTTGTGGTTACCAATAAAGTATAATATGAAAAGTGTTACGGTATTCCTTGGGATAGATGGGCATCTTGCAAGTAATGAAATCTGTGGATTTTCACCTCCTAAGGCTAATTGACAGCTCATTTAAAATATAACAATAAATCTAGAAATGGTTAAGTGGTGTCTCTTGACTGGGTACATGTAGTGAGAGTTTATTATATCAGGCAGCTCATTATGGGGAGCAATCTGTGAAGTGGCAGATGTTGGGGCATGGGTTGTACCTGCCCTTCCAAGGACACCTTGTACTCTTAATTGACAGTAGTATAAGGGGCTTCAGGGAGCTAGTGACATTTATGGGGACAAACAGTAGTGTTAAACCAACTTCAAAACAGAACTGAGCTTCTAGTATCTACCATTGCTGATCTCAGGCCACCAACAGTACCCAGGTGAATTTCAGAGAAAGGTGCATAACATTAGATCTTGTCTAGATTCACGTGCCAGCACATTCTAGTCTGGACTAGGAATCTAGTCTAATTATTCTGGCAAGAGGAACTCTTGAGTTGAATGTTACAGTGGAGGAAACCTTCCTGAGATAAGACAGCTTTTGGCTTCTCTGCTAGGGACCAGATCAGATTCTCAAAAGCAAGCCGATCCAGTGTTACCAGCTTTCATTTTGTTTGCCAATCTTTGCATTTCTCATCATCACTCAGAACAACAGCATTTCAGCATCCTGGGAAAGGCCACCTCAGCCTGAATCTGCTGATTTTGCCCCGGGGGAAAACTGACGCTATCTCATTCTCCCCACCTGGGTGAGGCTGGGTGTCAGGAGGATGTTGCCCAATCTGACCAGAATACTGCTTTTTCTGAACCTACAAGGCCAAAAACCTGTCATACTGAGGTGGGTAGGCTGGCCATTTGTCCAGAGTTAGCTGTTCTCACATGAACTCTGAGGCTGCTTTCAGGCAGGCTGAAGCATGGAGCAAAATCTCCCCATTTGGACTTCAATCCCTCAAAAAAGCTCAGGGATTTCTGGATGATCATGCAGAGTTGGGTGCATCCTGTTATGGAGGTATTAGTCCCCACAAAGTGATTGTAGGATACTAAGCAAAGATAAATGTATTTTTGCTAGTTGTTACAACTGGAAGTTTAACAATTTGTTAAAAGTCTGAAGGCCACAAGTAATTGAAAATATTTCCTAATACTCTATGAGAATCGTAGTCTTCCACCATATACACAGCCTTGAGAAAGAAAGCAAAGATGTACATTTTCTTATTTTTAAGCTTTTAGTCTTCTTGACCGTGTTCTCTAAAACAAAGAAAAAAGCATTTATGAGAATTATTTCAATTTTTGATTTCTCTCCCTGCTCCCCCCTTTGTCTGTAGTCATGGAGAGCTGAATTAATAACACTGCATGGGTAGTAGAGGAAGAGAGAAACACTTCCGGGTTAGCCAGAGAGACAGTAGCTGAATATCTTAAATAGATATTGAAAGAGAAGAAAGATAAATATGTTGACTGAAGCCCTTAAAGAAAACAAACTAAAACAAACAGACAAAAAAAAATAAATAAAAGCCCACAAAACTCACACAAACACGACCAACTTCTTGTGGATCTCCATGTTTTTCACCACATCACAGAACTCTGTGAAGGATATCCGGCCATCGCCGTCCTTATCCAGGACCAAGATAGTTTTGTCCACCAGCTGCTGCAGCTGCCAGTCCATGAGGTTGTTACCCACCATCATCTTCAGCACGTGGAAGAGCTCCCCATTGGAGATGTAGCCATCTTTGTCCATGTCGTAGACTCTGAAGGCGAATCTTAACTTCTGTTCTTCGTCGCCCTTGACGCTGAACTGCGAGGTGCCCATGATGAACTCATGGAAGTCCACTTCCCCATTGCCATCCGTGTCGAAGATGTCGATCACTCGACTTACCAGTGGGTTCTGCTGCAGCTCAGGCAGCGACATAAACTCATCTATGCTCAGGGAGCCCGATTTGTCCAAGTCCATCTTCCTGAAACTTCTGCCCAACCTTCTAATCTCATCCTGGTCAAAGTGGTTGCACATCGCGGATTGGTAGCTGGTCTCGTTTCCCATGGTGGGGGCAGTAGGGCTGGCAAAGCCAGTAGGGGGAGAAGCCAGCAAGGCAGAGAGTGCTGCCGTTGACCTGTGCAGCTCGCGAGAAAGCACGTGACAGCCAGAGGTGGGCGGCAGGGAGAGAAGGTGAAACTCAGAAACTCTGTGAGGACAGTAAGAGGGGAAATAGAGGCTGGAAGGGATGGGAGGGCAAACTGGGGCTACTCAGGAGAGGGATAGCTGCCGTGGGGTTGGCCTCCTCTATCTCTCTTGGAAATTATTTTCTCGTTCATCTCCCTTTCCCAATAAATGGGAGCCCTAAGGAAGCTAGGGACATAGCTAGATAATTCATCGTGTTATCTCCAGAAAAGACTACATAGCTTGACAGACAATATATACATAACAGACATATATTAAACCACTAATTGAGGGTAACATCAGACTGCTGCTTCCTTTGCAGGGGTGGTGTAAGGGTCAGATAAAATGATAGCATTGATATGAGGTGAATTCCCCATAATTCTCCCTGGGAGCAGCCAAACTGGCGTCCTTCTGGACCTCTTTCAGGAACTGAGGGTCAGAAGATTCCTAAGAAAAAGAATTTCTTACTCATATTTACAGACACCAACATAACTCTTCAGAAATAAAAAAAAACACTTCTTAATTCAGAACACTTTAAAAAAATAAAATAAAAGTCACTGTTCTTAAGAACATGGCCTGTGTTGCTCTGTGATTTATCTCCATGTTGGTGTCTGGTGCCTGGGGCTGGCAGAACACATTAGAGATCTTTTGTAAAGTGTTCAGAGAAGGCCTGTGTGTGCTGAGAGTGGCAGCTTACATTTCTCACTTCCTTCTTCAATTCCACTAGGTTTATTCTTTCAGCTAGAATTAATCTTTCTTTTCTTTGGAGTAGCAACTCGTGTTCTCCACAGGTATAAAAAATAAATGTGGTTCAAGAACAATCCAGTTCAAAAGGACTTGGGGGAAGGAACTTCAGGCTGTTAAATCTAACTGAGGGAGGCAAGCATCCCTCACTTCCAAAAACAAGTGCACATCATGCCCATGTCCTTTAGTTCAGAGGAAGATCAGCTGGAAGGTCTGTGAAACTGGCATATCTCAGCCACTGGGTCATTTTAATTTTCGCTGTAAAAAGATGATAATTGTGGTGGTTTGAATAAGAATGTCCCCCACAGGCTTTGGCCTTTGAATACTTGGTCCTAGTTGGTGGCATTGTTTAGATAGGTTTAGGAGGCATGGCCTTTCTTGAGGTAGTTTATCACCAGGTTAAAGGCTTGTGCCATTCCTAGTTTGCTCTCTGCTTCCAGCTCCAGTTGCTACACCTGCCTGATGCTTGCCACTCCACTGTGATGGTGATGGACTCCTATTTCTCAGATAGTGAAAGCCCCACATACACTCTTTCTTTTATCAGTTGCTATTTTGTTTATCATAGCAATAGAAAAGTAACTAAGTAATTCAGTTTTTTAAAGACTTTTATTTTTAATTGTGTAGCTGTGTGCATGGGAATGAAGGCATCTATGGAGGTGAGAAGAGGACATCAGATCCCGGGAGCTGGAGTTACAGACAACGGTGAGCTACTTGATGTGGACGCTGGGAATCAAACTCAGGGCCTCTGCAAGTGCAGTACATACACTAACAGTTGAGTTGTCTCTTGAGTACTTCCATTGGCTTTCAAAAAATAAAGCAAAACACCCTTTACCAACCCAAGCTGTGATGTTTTATTGGAGACATACTTTGTCTTATTTGCTTCCTTTCCAGTTACCCAGAGAAATTATCAGGGTATAGTTTGTATAAAGCCTTTGTGAATTTGTAATGTTAAAGGGAATCACTAAGCTCTCAAGGTTCCATGTACCTTACCTATAAATCTCAGCCCTTGTGAGACTGAGGCAGGAGGGTTGGGAGTTTTTACTCATTGTAGCTAAACCATCCCAAGATGGGAGTGGGCAGAGATCACCTTAAATTGGAAGATGCTGAAGTCAGTGCTCATCTCTGAATGCTACTCTCCCCATCACTATGTTCTATCTATGTCCTAGAGTACCACGATTTTTCTAGATTAGGGTTTGGGGATAGAAAAGCCTTGAGGGTGCCTCTGACTTCAACATCAGTATCTGGGGAGTACAAGCCTTTGCCAGGGTGTCCAGAAAGCTCCAGGCCACTAAGACATGGCAGTGCCCAAGCACTAAGGAGGATGGGCCCATAGCAGATAAATCCACATCAGTGGATAGACCTCTACCAGAGAATTGCAGAAAATGTTCCTTGAGACACCAGTCAAGGGCCCAGACCCATGGACACCCTACCTGCCCTACTCTCAGTTCCTATGCCAAATGTAACCAAAGGCAGGTATGAAGTCCCAAGGGGGTCTTAGGAAAGGGTATAGAGCTGGTGGCCCCAGGCACAGAGGTAAGATTACTAAGTGTGTGTAAGCTGCGGGGGTGGAGGGGAGCAGTAGGTGAGCTGCAGCTGGAACAGGTAGTCTTTCAGAACACACAGTCGTGTGGGCCTGCGCCTCCTACCTAAACCTTCTGTTTTCAGCATGAGTGGGGGAGCAGAAGGTTGGGTGCTGGACATGCAGGGTAGGAAGGCCTTCTAATGGAAAGGAAGTAGAATCCAAATCAAAAGCTATCCATAATCAGCTCTGGGCCCCGAAGAGGTGGATCTTCAAATGTAGGCAAGGCAGAGGAAGACATCAACTTTGCCAAACACCACCTGCATCCTCTCACTTGGATGAAGAGGACGGAATACATCTCAGAACCAGACAGCTAATGAGAGAGCCATGAGGGACCCGGACAAGTGTGGTGGGCTGAGTGTGACTTCCAAAAGGTCCATATGTTTGAATTCTTGCTTCCCAGTTGGCAGAACTGTTTGATTAGGAGGTGTGGACTTGTTGGAAGAAGTGTCACTGGAGGCAGACTTGAGGTTTGCAAGGGCTCAGGCCATTCCCAGTGTGCTCTCTGTCTCCTGCTTGTGGATGGAGATGTGAGCTCTCAGCTGTTCCTGCTGCCTGCCATGTCTTTGTTCCACCATCACGGACTGTAACCTGAAGCTACAAGCCGAAATCAATGGGCTCTTTTGTAATTTGCATTGTGCGTGATGTTTGATTACAGCAATAGGGAAAAGTAACTAATACAGCAAGATGGGAAATAGGGAGTTTCCGTCATTAGCAGTGGCAGACAACTGGCTCTTATCACCCATTCCTTTGTCATGGCTCTTTGGGCTCTTTGACCCAGTCAGGCATACAGGCCTGACCCTCTCAGGACCTCTGCCAGGCAAGTCAGACCTAAGGAACCAAGATGGTTTCATTTTGTTAAAAATGATTGTATTTCATTAAAGTCTGGCTGTGAACTAGAATATGTTGAAAAAAAAAAGACAGAAAAGAAAGAAAGAGGACTGGAAGGAAGGGCAGAAGGACTTCTTAGACACTGGTTACATTCTGCTGCTGCACGCTGCTCTTAGCACTTTCCATCATTCACTTCGGCTCTTCAGACTTCTCATTGTAGGCTTGTGGGCCTCAGTGGTGGCTGTTAGGCACTCAAGACTCCTTACAGCTTTTTCTTGGGTAATTATTTAATGTTTATTGCTGTAAAGGAGACACCAGTGAGCTGGACTCCGCATGTGTTCCCAGAAGGCAGAAATAGGTATGTACTTGTAATCCTAGAGCCAGGAAGACAGGATAAGAGGATTTCTGAGGCTTGCTTGCCAGACAGCATAACCTGGCAAGCTCCAGGTCAGTAACAGATGCTGTGTCAGAAAAGCAAGGTTGAGGATGCCTGAGGAATGACACCCAACCATACACACACATGCATCCACCTGAACACTCAGACACATGAACATACCTACTCATGTGATGATTTTAATGGGTAGATTATGTTGCACACGTAGAAATTTTTCATGAGGAGAAAAGTTATCACAAGAATTAGTGATTTAATAATTGGACAGACACTATTGAGGATGTGCTACTTCATGCAAATGCTTGCAACATACAGAAAGATTCCTTTTGGTCCCTCCCTGCATTGTAGAGAATTCAATACCATCCTGAAAGCTGGAGTAGTCAGTCAATATGAGGTTGAGTTCCCTGTTGTTCTACATTTCATAAACTTTTTAGTTTGGCATCATAATGGGATTCCAGCCATTGTTCCATTTTCTCTAGCCATTCATTATTCTTAGTCATTTCTATGGAAAGCACCATTTGTTACTTGTTCTGTGTATCACTGCAGAATATATGGACTGCAATAAATTAAAAGGGTTGATTGATTGATTTGGAAGAAACCAGAATCCCGATGCATTCCTGTTTTAACAAAGCATTTCCTCTCAGTTTTATTTTTCCCCAATGACTTTCAGATTAAGAGCTATGAGACAGTTGCATGCACAAATAACAAGGATATTGGAAGTGATGAGACATGTGGTTTGTCTTCCTCTCCCTTCTCCTTGTCAGTCAGGAGAACGGGTTTCTGAGCAAGGTGACACATGCTAGCAGCTTCCTAGAAAGTTGTGCAGGGAGGCCTGAGCCTCTCCTGGAAGGGCTTCTGTGGTCTTACTTGGAGCCACACTTGACATAACTATATTGATGTGAGCCACAGTGTGGTAAGAAGAACTTAAGTTGTAGCTTAGGCACTGAGTTCCCACTGTTTCTGAGTATCAGGTTCTCATCAGCAAAGCAGGAAGGAAAGGATGAAGCCATAGTGCTATTGAAGGTGCATTGGTACACAGACGATACCATCTAAAGTGGAAGTATTTAAAACACACCTAAAATGGCTACAGTACACCATGGATACACAACATATTTGTCTATAATATCTCTTTCCTATTTCTTTTTAAATTATTCCCTCCCTCCCTCCGTCTCTCTCTCTCCCCTTCTCTTATATTTATTTATTTGCTTGCTCTGACTATATGACTTTTATTTTATTTGAATTTCAGGAACATAGTGTCAAGCTTAAATCATTCAACAGATTATACTGAACATAGCATACATGGTTGGCTTTGTGCTAAATAATAGACTTACTTTGGTA